AATGAATTTTGTTCACTCAAATTTAGCTTTTCTTTGCTCAAAATAAATTTCTCCTCAAAATGCAACACTTGCACCTGCAAACCTTTTTTTACGTGCGCTCAGAATAGCACAAAAATAACGCCATAGTTTTTGTCCTGTTGTGTGATGCTGTGGTAGCTGAGACTGAATGACATGTGACGAGGAACGCGCTGCATGTTTTACCTCGATGTGTCTCTGCTTGCGTTTGCTGTCTTCGTGCAGCGAACTCATCGTCTCGTTTAGCTTCTTACAGTCGGCCTGAAGCTGCAGCATCGCCTGCTGCACGCCGTTCACCAGCTCCATGTTCTGACACACACACACACACACACACACACACACACACACACACACACAGAAGGAATCAGAGATCTTCCTGCAGACAGCTTAACCCCGGTGTATTCTGTGTATATCGGAGCAGTGACGTTTAGTTTCCAGACGAGGTTCCAGGACTTTGACCTCCCCTTTAACATCATCTCCTGGAGCACCTCTGGGCCACTTCCACCACTGCTGCTATTTTTAGATCACTTCCTGGCAGTCCATCCAGACCTCGTACCCTGCACGCTCTGCGGTTTCATCAAAAACCTCAAACCCTGCAGACTTTTGCTGCGTCTGCAACAATCTGCAGTTTACGGCATCTCAGGTAAGGACCGCATCGCTCACAGTGTTGAGCGTCACGAATCTGTCCACCAGGAAGAGGCAGCTAGAACTTCCTGTGGTGTCTGAGGAAGAACATCATGAGGAAAGTTGTGAGATTTTTAGCCACCTACAGTACTTAGACTGTGAGTTATGGAGAGATCTAAAAACAGCAGCCAAGGTAGGAGCAGCTTGGACGTGACCTTAAAAGGTAAAAATCAAAGTCAGGTCTTTTCAGCACTCTCTTAAACCCAGCGTGCAGATCTGAAATGTTCCCTAGCTTCACCCTGCTCTGGCTTGCCTCTCGGTCCTGCGGCGGCCCTTCTCTGGCTCCGCCCTGCTGCTGGATCAGTCTGTTCACCGCGTCCTGCAGCTGCTGGTAGTGCTCGAACAGAAAGCTGAGCTTCTCTCCAATGTTTGTTGTTCTGGCATTCAGAGCTGACCACTCTTCGCTCTGACGGACGCTCGGACCACCACTCTCCACCTGCACGGCCTCATCGCATAGACTCGTGGACAGCTGAGATGTGAAGGACAAGATTGTGTCCTCCAGCGTTCCCCGCAGGTCGTCCAGCTGAGGTCGGAGGGCAAAGAACTGAGATTAGACTGATGCATGTCGCCTGAAACACCAGGGCATCTTTGACTGTTTCTCTGTTTCCTCTGCTTTGTCTGGAATGTTTTCAGACTCACACTGTCATTTGAGACTTTTTTTACAGTGTGGAAATCTACATGATGTCTCCTGCATGACATTCAGGAAACAGACGCCACCTACAGGTAAACACCTGACAGCGAAAACTAAAGACGCGGCTCCTTGACCAAAACAAACAACTTTTCTGATATTTTTTCTGATTGTTTTTTCCAAATGTGCCAAGCATAACAAAACTCCTAAATTATGACTTCGCCATTTACACGTGTGCTGCTGTTCCGTTCCCTCCCTGTAGGTGGCGCCAGTTTGCCTCCTGAGCTTCAGCACTTCCTGCCTGACCTGACGTTGTAGCTGTTGGTCTGCCGCTTTCTCCTCACACTGAGTCTGCTTCACGTCCTCCTCCAGCCACTGCACACGCTTCCTGGACACGAGGGCGCCATCATGAAAGCACAACGACTAAAGTGACCCGGGTGAATAAAACTCCTGACAAGTTTCGAAAGACTAAAAGGAGCCCTGATTCAGCGCGTTTAACGAGTTTCTCTCTGCAAGTTGGATCATTCTCTTCCAGGCAGCTCAAACAATGATGTCAGAAGAAGAAGCGGCCGGAAATGCACGCAATGACGCTACAAACTGCATCCCACTAGTGTTTCCTCTGTGACAGGAAAGACTGATCGTGTTTACACGTGAACATGAAACCCACCTGATAACAAAGGCGGTGAATTCTTGTGAATTCATTATAAAATAATAGTTTTAGGTCTAGTTTCTGTCAGGCGCCATCATCGTTGTCACCATAACACCGCCCTCGTTTAGGCGTGCCACACTTGCTGTAAAAAAATCTGTTTTATTTATAAAGCTCCAAATCCCAACAACAGTGTGCTGGTTCAGGAGCTCTTGGGTGATGAACTCGGTCTTAAAGGACAATGACATTTAACAACTCCGGCTGTGACGGACGAAATAACTGCTGGTGATGCGAAGTGGGCGGGGCCAGAGTTATACGCATACACAGATCCTCTCGCCTCCGTAGCTGCGACTGCCTTTGTGTTGCAGGGGCAGTTTGAGTAACATCCTCAGTTACATCACGTTCACGCTTCTCTCACTGCCCTCAGCTTCAAGCCAAGACTTCAAAAACAGTTAAAGCGAGCTTAAAATAGCTGAGCTGGTGTTACTACAGGAAGCTGTATATGTATATTCATGGTCAGGGCTCCTTTTAAAACTTCTGTTGGGTGATGTAAAACTGGCTCTCCCTCCTGTGTGTCTTTACCTGAGGTAGGATATTTGCTCTCTGAGCTCTCGGTAACCTTCGCTGTCTGAACCCACTCTTCTGCAAACCTCTGACTCCGCCCTCTCCGAAGCTTCCTTTTGCTCCAGCCTCTCTGACACTTCTGGCTCCGCCCTCTCTGAAGCTTCTGACTCCGCCCTCTCTGAAGCTTCTGACTCCGCCCACTCTGACACTTGTAACTCCGCCCTCTCTATAGATACCTCGGAGGCGCTTTCTTTGTGTGGGCTCATCAGGCTCATGAGCATGTCCTCCAAGGCGTCCAGCTTCAGACGGACAAATTTAACCATCAGAGCCGACAGACAGGAAGTGACAAGGCAGCGTTTGTGCTGATGTTTGAGGAGGAGAGGGTTGTTCCAGTTGGTTCTTACTCACCTTTCCTCGGTCGCTCATCAGGTGGTCTAGCAAACCTCTCTGCTCATTTAGCTGATCCATCAGGTTACTGAACGCGTCTCCATGGGAACCTAAATGTTCAACATAACATCAGCATCGCAGTCTGGGAGCAGAAATCAGATGCTCTAAAAGTGCTGAAATTCTCATTCATTCCATGAAGTTTGAGCTGTAATATGTACAAATAATAGTTACAGGATAAATTACAGTAATTACTGTAAATACCTATAAAAGTTTAGTCGAACTTTTACCACTGGGGGGCAGTGTTTTACCAGGAGGGGTGTTACATTTTTGGGATGTGTGTGTTCTTTATACCCGCTCCCTCAAGAAGTGCTCTCGCTGACTTACCAGGTTAAAGAAAGACTGCACCACCTTGTGGTACAATTAGGCATTACACAGAAGTGTGGCCACAACAACAGATGTTTCGGGCACAAACTCATAGCAGCTGTTTCTTCACATTCTGCTGATAGATTTTTGGGAGGCTAAGACATTTTTAAACAAAATAATTTGTAAAAACCTTTAAGAAAGATAAAATAAAATCAAAGGTTGGTGCAGCTCTAATATATTCTTCATGCTATGACTTCAGATCTCACACTGTGATCTGAACACTTTAAATGAGAGCTGTGTTCATGAGAGACTTTCTAACAGCTTGTATGGCGTCACCTTTGGTGGCGATGAGCTCTCTGAGCTGAGCCAGCTGACTCTGGTCTGCCTTTCCTTTCTCTAACACCGCTACGTGAGCTTCCACCTGGACGAGCCTCTCCTGCAGCTGGCTCACACTCCTCAGGGCCTCCACTGCCTCTGTGGATGGTGTGGAGCTGTTGGAATCTGAAGCTGGAGGTTTACTAGCAGAGTCTGCTTTAACACCAGCCTGTGGAGGCGGCCCTGACTGGACCGAAGAGCACTCGGATTTATTTGGAGAACTTGGAGCTGCTGGTCCAACGGTGACCTTGTCGGGGTGGGAGGAGGGAGGTGTGCTGCTTTGAGGAGGTTCGGTGAGGTCACTGCCGGAAGGCGAGGAGGTTTGTTTGGCTGCCACGAGCTGATTATCGATCCCTGAATCTCCAGGCTCCTGTGAGGAAGTCAGAGACAAACACTCTGAAACTGCAGACAAATATCAACACTGTACTCCAATCCATACCGCTGGTCAGGAACACAGCAGGGAAGGGCAGCCAATCAGAATCAAGCTGATTTAGTGGGAGTGGAGCTAAAAGAGCTTGTTTCGGGGAAAACTCTGGAGCTGCACCAAAGCTCGGGTGAGATTAAGAAGGATTATTATGAACCTCTTAATCACACAAAGCAGAGGCCAAGCATAAAAACATGGAGCTGGGAGTGAGCCGCAGAGGTTCTTCAATAATAAACAGACGGGTGAAGATCAAATTAACCCCAAAACAGAGACGTGTGATATGGATGGTTCGAATAAAAACAGCAGAGCTGGGATTTTTATTTTTTTCTCTTTGATGCCAAAGAGATCAGATTCCCATGAACATCTGCCCCAACTTTATCTAAATTTGATTAAAGAACCTTCTTTAAAAGCAAAATTTCATGTCACATCCGCCTGTTTGGCTTGTTGCCTCTTGTTTCTTGGTAAATATTCTCCTGCTGAGGCCTCAGCTCGGCTCTGCACACAAACATGGCTGCTTTCCTCCAATTGCTCGACACTAAAATAACTTTAGGACTCTAAACATCTGGCTGTAAGCTCGTCTGTTTCTGATCAAACACAAGTTTCTGTTTCTTTCTCACCTTCTGGAATTTTTCTGTCTCGCCCTCTCTGTCGCCGGGCAGAACTGCGTCCCTCAGAGACTTCTGTAACAACAGTGAAATCACGAGGTTTGGGCATGTCCTCATTAAACTGTCAGAATTACATTATTACACAGAAGCCAGTAGCCAACAGTTTAAACAGTGTCACATCCTCCCCTCAGACAAACCCTCACCACAGTGTCCTCCAGAGCGTCCACACGGTGGCAGCAGCTCTCTACCCGAGCGGCCGTCCCCAAAGCGTCACCGACCATCTGAACACAGGACAGAGGGAGAGATCAGAACATCCCACGAATCCACATCCAGCATCAGCTGAGCTCCATCGCCGAGGCCTGAGGGCGAGAAGACGCTGAAAATACGGCGTGGCTCAGAATCAGCGTGTTTCCCTGCAGAGCCACTAAAAGTCAAACATACATGAAATATTTGCTATGATGATGAGCTCTTTTCTTCAGCTGAACATTGACTGAGACTTTTGGACAGCAGAGAAACTTTCTGTGGTTCAGATTCATAAATCTATCCAGTCAGACCAGAACTTTTTTTCTGACAGTTTCTATTTATCGTTTTATTTCTAGTTGCAGGTTTCTATTCTACTTTTTGTTTATGGAGCTTTATTATTCTGCGTATTTCATTTTTTCTGTTGAACTGGGCTCCTTTATTGTGTGTTCTGTTTTACCACATTAAATTGTTTCATTTTGTTTATTTGAGTGATGCTGTTATAAGATGTGTCTAATATTACTTCTGTAGTAAATAAAGTATATCTAAATAAGTATAAAGTAGAAATAAAGTATATCTAAATAAGTATAAAGTAGAAATAAAGTATATCAGGCTCTTTGAGTTTTCTGACTGACTGTTTGATTTCTGATTATTGAAAGTAGAAGCACTTCCATAAAACCTGGATCAGAGTTTCATAGAAAAAGTTTCAAAAATTAAATATAATTAAAAATGTTTAATGAATTTGGCCCGATCTCACTCCAGATGGTCCTGCGGGCTAAAGAGGAGCGGGACCATCTGCTTTGTGGTCAGCAGTGTCCGTACGTGGAGCTTCATCAGAGCAGCTTGGAATCGGTGCAGGTGACAGAATCTGTCCCAGCGTTTGTGATTTTTTGTTTTTGCTCTAATTGACTGTAATCATTTGAAAACGTTTCAGTGTTATTTCTTTGTGCGGTTTGATCGGTCGTGGTGTTTGCGGTGTGTTTCGCTGTGCACGGCCCGACCTCGTGTTGCTGCCGGAGCTCCTCCATCTGCTCCTTCAGACGCTCGTTCTGCTCGTTCAGGTCCAGGATCAGCCTCGTCGACTGCAGACACAGCACACAGCTTCGAATCAGTACGCCGCACATATTCACTACAAAAAAACTGCTTCTCATCCTGTAGGTGTGTAAAAGGTGACGCCTGGTGGTTTTCTGCTCACCGATTGGCAGAGGAGTTGTCACAGGAAGTCAGATGTGTGGGTGGGGGCGTGTCTGTTCTGGTGTTTCACTGATCTGGGAGATTTTTAAAACTGGTTTTTCTTTCTTATCTCGCATCTCGTCCTGCGATTTGTGCTGATGTATGGATTAGATATAGATTATAGATTATGGATGATCTGGATGAATACTGGCGCTGTCACAGCAGCGGTTGCTGATGCCTGGGTTAGTGGTACAAGATGCTGGACTCATTTCCTGTGGATGTCCATGTGTGGCAGTGACGTACATTTATGAAATAACTGCTGTAGTACAATAATTGTCCAAATATGAGAGAAATCATCAGAATAGGGAAGCTGATGTGCTCTGATGTTGTTATTTTTTAAATTTAATTTGATGGATGTAGCGTGAAGTGCGTTGGGTTGATGATCGGCTCTTTGACCTGTGGGTCATTTACACTTCCTGTGGGGGTGGCGTGAGGTGTGTTGCAGAGCAAACAGACACGGTTCGATCTGTCCTTTCACGCCGAAGCAAAGGAAATTCCTGAGCTGTGTGCGAGCTGCTGTTTAACTTGTGTCAAATGTGCCGAGTGATGCATGGCGACCCCCCACGGCTCGGGCCTCAGTGACTCAGAGCTGGTTAATGAGTGCAGCCTCACCTTGTGTCCGGGGTCATCGGGACGGTTCGAACACTTTAAAACAAATCACATTCCCATACAGCTAATCCGGATTCTTCATTACGCTTTGGGAAAACTCTCCCGCTGTTTGGTTCGCTTTCAGCACCAAGGCTACCTGCTCAGCTTTACGACGCTCATGCTTTGGTATAAAACACAGACTCTGATTCGCTGCTTTCTGGGATGACTTTTGCTGTGCAGTCCAACAAGTCTGAGCTCCAGTTTGGGTGAAATTCGAGGATATTAATTAGATGTTACCGAGCACTGATCAGCAGGTATCCAAGTCAGTGTGATGCTCCTGTGCAGTCTCCCACGCTGCTCGCTCTGGAACAAATATGGTCTCTTCTGGCAAAAATGAGACCAAAACCAGCAGGTCACATTAGCTTTGTCCATCATTTATCTACAGTCTATGTTATGGCTGGTGGTGGCCTTTAACTCAACACAACCAAAATGTTCAGAAAGCAAAAACTCAATCAGTAAATGGAGAACATTATGAAATCATCATTAGATGAAGTCCTATCACTTGCATATCCAAAATATTCATAACTGCTTCTGTAAATAACGAGAACCTGCTGATGTCTCTCAAACTGATTTAGGAAAAAGACTCGCCAACATGGCGGAACAGTTCTGTGAGGGCTCCGAGCTCCGTCTGTGTTCTGGTTACACTCCAGCCTCGTTCAGATCAGTCACTCATTAACTAGAACCCCCCCCAACCCAACCCAACCCCGATGCACCAAAAGCCATGTTCAGGTAAACAGTTGTCTGTCAGATTAATGGGTGATGCCTGCCGTCCGGCCTTTCACATGAAGAACACACTGAGGTCATGCAGCCGGATGAAGAGGGCGCGCCAGCAGAAACAGCAGCTGACCCGGGCCGAGCCCACAGAGGACATGAATGATTCAGCCGCACCTCCGTGCACCTGCTCGGTGTCCCGCTCTTCACCTGAGAGCTATTCATCCCCTGACAACCAGAGGCATCTCTGCAGGGGACTAATTACCCCCTATCACGCAGAGAGGAGAGTGCAAGGCGGAGGAGGAGGGGAAGGGGGAGGCAGCAACGTGTGAACCACAAACACCTCCGACCTTTAACGTCCTCCACGCTGCATGACGTTTTTAAGATCAAAATGTTGCTGGGCGGCCTGATGATGTTGTATGTGCTCATCTGCCGGCGGCAGCTCTGCAGAAACCTGAACGGGGACACTCTGGGGTCATTTGAGATGTCAGGGTGGCGCCCATCTCCCATTGTGCTCTGCTCTATCATCAGCGGCTTAGTAATATGCTGAAATGTTCACCACTGTAAGCCAGACATGGAAGAAGAGAAGAAGTCGCTGGGCCACGGTCAGGGGCAGCGTCATATAGTTATCTACAGTGTGTGGTCTTTACTGACGCTTTATTGTTTCTTTATTCTCACTTTGTGCAGGAAAACAATACATATTCACTAAAAACAAACAAATGTAGTCTTTTAGCTCGTCTCTGAACATTACTGCATCACCCACCACATCAGGCAACAGCATTGGCACCGATGTTCAGTGTCTCAAAAAACAAGGATTTCTTTCTTTTTAAGATGCAAAAAAGGCGACAAAACCACCAAAGAAATCAGGCGCACGCACGTTTACAGGTGTCAGCGCAGTTAAAGCGGCCCAGAGCGCAAAATGTGATGATTGTTTAATACATGGTACCAACAGGCAGACCACAGTAGTGTGGTGTCACCACATCATACTGCCTGTTAATCACAGTTACACGTCCACGCTGCAGATGTTAAATGGCCTGCATTTGTATAGCGCTTTTCTAGTCCATAGGACCCCAAAGCGCTTTACATATCCAGTCATCCACCCATTCACACACAGGCGATAGCAAGCTACATTGTAGCCACAGCCACCCTGGGGCGCACTGACAGAGGCGAGGCTGCCGGACACAGGGGCCACCGGGCCCTCTGACCACCACCAGTAGGCAACGGGTGAAGTGTCTTGCCCAAGGATATTTGGCATGCAGCCAGGGTGCAGCCTGGGATCGAACCACCGACCTTCTGATTAGTGGCTGACCTGCTCTGCCACCTGAGCTACAGCCAGGTGGCAGAGCAGTTGCGTTCTCAGCACTACCAGAAAAGGAGCATAAATTGAGGAACTGTTGTTTTTTTAAGCAGACAGTAATTTCAAACAATTCAACAAACACAGGACAGTGACTGCAGGTTATGGATGTTACACTGGTGCCCAGCACACTGTGGGAACCATGGTTATTACTGGGTTGCCATTGGTTGTGAGGTCACTGAGGTCAACCTCTGTAATTTGATTTATTGGAAACGGGCACCAAACCTTTCTTTACTTCGAAAACTCTGTGTTCAGGTGGTTGGGATGACACATGACGAATGAGAGTGAATCAGAGCCACTGAGTGGGTGACTTTGCCTTCCTGCTCATTTAACTTCAGGTGAAGGAATATTTCTGTTTCATTATTTTGTTTTGTTTATGAACACAGTGTCATCGAGCACAAGGTTTCTCCATTTAAATGTATGAAGTGTATGAATTTATATTTAATCTTCCACTGATTGTATATCATCATACAGATTCTGATGTATTTCTCAGTGATCATAGGTGGTTTTTCTTTAAGGTGGTCTTTGAGTACTTCACCTTAGAGAGGCCGTCCTCACATGTCTGGATGCGGGAAAGGAGGTTCAGCTGGTCGGGGACCGGGCCCGGGCATGAGGGAGTGGCTGCCCGATTCTGGAAGTCAGTGTCCGGCTGAACCTCCACCTGAACCTCCTGCTCTGCCGCCGTGAGATCAGGGCTCCAATAACCCGGAGAGGAGTCCCTCCACCGGGTCTTCACCTCCCGGAGATTCAGCTGTTTCAGCATGGCAGCGAGCAGCGAGTGGAGGGCGCCGAAGTTCACGGAGGACTTCTGGGGGGTCCCGATGGATAGGTTCAGCAGGTCGTACAGACTCACCTCCTCCGACATGTTTGACGGACCGTTAAACCGTTACCGTGAAGCTAACGTTAGCTCAAACTTCACCCTTAGCTACTCAAGACCCGGTATTTATAATAAAAACAATTACAAGTGTCAGTGGTCTTTCCCTAGAGTCGGTTTTCCGGTGTTTCAGTCAGACATCCCACCAGCGGCGGTAATCTCGGGTTTGTGCTGGAATCTCGTCACGTTCAACAGAAAACAGCAGCCCCCACTTAACAAGCTAGCCATATTTGCCGGATGCACAAACGCTGACCTCCCAAAATAAAGTTTGAATGCAAACTAAAACCCGTATTGTGGAAACAAAAATCTTAATCATGCTAACATGACCGATTTTATTATATAAATATGCAGATTAGCGCCACGTCTTTCGGCTCTGTTGTGAATCTTGCCAGCAATATTTACCAGTTATACTTTTATTGTTAAGACGGTAACCGGATGTGGTGTTGACCGTTTACTCTTACTTGACGTCGCGTCGCGCGGCAGTCCCACGTTGGAAAGGTCGTAGCGTTGATTGTTGCCAGGCAACAAGCGGCCCTAAGGCTGTGTTGAGGAAAAGCGGATTTCTGAGAGCTCTCGAATGGAAACGAAAGCACGTCCGGGACTATTTTAGGATGAGTTTATTTTTTTAAATCGTTTTTAGTTTACACTTCACTTTTATCTTCTGTTTCCAGCTTTACTTCGCTTCCACGGAGAAACTGATTGTTGAGTTTTTGGTTTGTTGAAAATGAGATTTAATCACTTGCATCACGTTTTCGTATTCTTTTATGTGGCATGGGTAGGATTTGTCAGGGGAGCTATTTAATGAGTATCATAATAAAATGAACAATAAAAGGACATATTTGAAGGCAAATAACTCGCAGCCACAGTCTCTATAAATAGAGAAGAAAAACGCAGACTCACATCATCACCGTCTGCTCTGAAATCACTGTGAAAATCATTCATATCACAGAGCTGATATAGCTCACAGATATCTTATTCTTTTAGATTCTTTTCTTGAGTTTCAGTTTCCATCACCCTTGGAAACACATCAGCTCTTGTGCTTACATTGCACAGCCTGTATTATCAGATTTGTAGTTTCTATGTAAGCACTTTGCGATGCTGGTTTTGACATGTCATACAAATAAACTTTAAAACTACTTAAGAAAGGAACTTAAACAGTTTAATGTTTGTTCATATTAAACAGTCCAGCGGTCCAGATGAGTGAAGCCTCAGAGCCCAGAACAGTTTGTGTATCAGGCAGTAAGCATGATTATTGCTGCTGCAGAGGTTTAACACAGGAGTCTGCGGGGACTGACTTACTGCTGCAGCCTCCTGTGGACATTAGAGGAACTTCTCTTTGGTTTAGCGTCACGCACACAAATAACTCAAAAGTCAGTGAGGATCCAGATGTGTTTGAAGTGACCGACGGCTCTGTTCAGATCATCTCGTGTTTCCGTCTTTAAAGCTGTGGAGCTCTCCATGTAAACACAATGAATGCAGAAAACAGTATTTTATTGACAAGAAAAACATGCAGGCAGAAGTTTGGGTGTCATTTTTAATTACATTCAAGTATAAAATCATCATCTTGGTACATTTCCCTTATTTATCCTTTGATTGCGTTCACTGCAGTAGCAACATGAACCAAAGTTGAGCAAACCCGACTCCCAGCAATAAATTAACTACAATAGTGTGCGGCCATTCGTTGTTTGACACTTGGAACAGGAAAAAAAAAGAAACTACAGCATGTCTGAAGTTGCTCCCCGTCACCATGGCAACATTACAAAAAGCATTAAGGCTCAAATGTCACGCTGTGTCTGTTTGGCGTCACATCAGTTTAAACTAGAGAGTGAAACTGTGAATCTGCACTGAGCAGCAGCCCAGACAGGCTTGACCTCAATAAAGATACCTTCTGTGATTACCCTGTGCACGCTGCAGACACTAGGTGGCAGTGTTTTCACGTGTTGAGCTACAGTCCACCATCATAATTGAGAATATATCATGATGATTTAACTGGTTAAAGGCTATACCAACTCACTGCACCATCTAACAGAACATCACAACTGCTTCGACTCATTTTGTGGCACTTTAACTATTTTTAAACAAGAATTTATCATTTGACTAAACCTGAACCAAAGGAACGATTAAGTTCAGTTCAAGACGGGCAGAGGGGAGTCAGATGACGAGCAGAAAGATGAACGAGGGCACAGTTTGTTATATTTGTGTTCTTTTAGTTTAATCATATTTTTAATGCCGATCATTAACATTAAATGGGGAAATTTTGAAGTTCATTTGGTTGAGTTAAAATGTGGTTTAAGGAAGTGAGCTGCACATGTAGGCATGACCAGTCAGTGTAAAAAGTCTGCATTTCCTTAGACCACATTAATAAGTGCATGTCCTCTTATTATTGGCCATTTCATTTTTTTTAAAGAGTATTTCTAGAGTAAAAGCTGTTAAAAACAATCAGTTTTGGTGATTTTCTTTTAGTGGAAGGACAGATTTTTCACCCCTATATGCAGGAAAACCCTGGATATCTCCCCATGATTGTTTCTCATGTTTTTGGTGGCACCTCCATCGTCACGTTTACCAAAAGTTATTCAAACTAAGTCAAATAGCACCCCCTAGTGGGCAAAAACTGCACAGGGTGCCTTTACGAGGAAGGGAAAACAGTTCAGTGGATGTTGCATTATGGGATTTGTAGGAACAAGCATTTTTCCCTCTCTTTTTACTGTAGACACCTACCCGTGTGAGCCACCAAATGTTAGAGATACCCAATCACTGAGACGCCCCTTCAGGTCAAAGTCTGTGTAGCTTCAACTCTGGCCGCCACCATCAGCGCAGAAAAAAAAAACAAAAACCCCTGACTTTTTCTTTTTGTTAAACACGAAGAGGTGAGAAAAGCAGCAAAGATGAGGAAGAAAAAAAAAGCAAAACTTCTTCCTGTCCTTAGAGGCACGAACAGAACATCGTCTGCTCTGCAGTCTGAGCCGAGCGCCGTCAGCCACGCCTGATTAAGAGTTGCTTCCTGGACCGCAGAGATGCACTTTGACGACACGGATCTCATTACGACGAAACCAGTCGTGTAAAAGAACAGAAGACGAGGGGTGAACGTGAATCTGACACCAGAAGAAGTGACTTCGTTTTGTTTCTCTTTAAATAATAACGGCTTAATTTTAAAGCCGAACAGCCGAGAACAGTAAAACTGCCTCATGTGGCGTGAATCGCAGTCTGTGACCGCTTCACTCCAACATTAGAAGGAAGAAAATATTTATGAGACACCCATGAGTGACAACCCTTCAGTATTTGGCTGTAACCAGAGCTGGATTTGTGCAGATAGAGTATAGACGTTTAACTTAAACCTTTCTCTTCTTGTCAACAAATCCAGAAAAAACCCTACAAATATGTTTAACCTTTTAAAACTGCTCAGTGATTGGCTCAGTGATCTGGATGCCATTTTTCCCCTCAGGTGGGTGTGGTTTCCGTGGAGCTCTCCTGTATGTTTCTAACAGATGACCGAGGGCTTTTCACAGAATTTGTTGTCAAGATGGAAGTTGGTCCACTGAAGGAGGACTAACAGCGTGACGCCAACACGAGCAGTGGGATTATTACTCTCTTTGCCTTGAATAGAGTTTATTTACAGACCGAGTGCACAAGAAGGAGGAGTCTGGTTATGAAACTAAACGAGGTATATGAGGCGTGCACACCACCGTCACACATGCTGTTTGATTTAATTGGGTAAATGCTGAGATCAGGAGGAGCGTTTGGTCCCGGGTTCAGAATCTAAATGTACCACAGCTAGCATCAGTCTGTGGGCCGGTCGTCCCTGGGCGAGGTTTTTTTTCCTTTCCAGCAGTGGAGAGTGAAAAAACTCCAGCTGTGCCCTCGTCATCCGGCCCGGCTCAGATACTGTCGTAGTCCGACTGCCGCCTGCTGGAGCTGGCCATGTGCTCCACCTTAAAGAAGGTTATCGTGCCCAGAAACCCCACCACGACCAGGATGAGCAGCTGCCAGTGCAACAGCAGGTAGTTACTGTAGTAGAAGGCCAGAGCGGCCATGATGGACTGCACAGGAAATGACAAACACAGGTTAATTCAAAATAAAACTCAGCTGTAAAACAATACACTCTCCTGTTCAGCGTTTGTGTCACCTGGATGAACTTGAAGACGGCAAAGGCGGGGGCGCTGTTGTCGTGGAACATGAAGCCGATGATGCTGAGGAGCTGCGTGTTGAAGCAGCTGTCACCCAGACCGAGCAGGAAGCTGCAGAACAAGGCCACGCCCACGCTGAGGCACACAAATGGTAATGTTAACCTGACAGCATCGTTTAAATAAGTTTAGAAAACCAAAGTCTGAACACAGTCAGAGGGCTCGTAGCGGAGGCTCCGGGGAAAGAGAACGAGGCTTTTATTGTGAAAAGGTAACAAAATCAGTCATTTGCATTATTTCAGTCATTTCGATTTTATTTTAAATGCACACACATGTATTAATAATCATATATATATATAGAGATTGAAAATGTGACGGCACTCAGGGGTAAAACCGCAAAGGATTCTGGGAACTCGTGGCAAGAGGTACTAGCGCACGCAGGCTTTCAATTGAAATCAGTTATACAGCGATAAAAAGAAACACAAAAATGGCAAGAAGCTGTTGTATTATTAACTGCAATAGCCGGTCGCATGACAGCCACGGGAAGCCGACGGGTAAAGAGATCGGTTGTTATCGGATTACGTCGTTGAAGAGAAATTGTTCGAGCCATGTTTCCGAAGTAACAAAGAGGCGACGGATGGCCTGGATTGCAGCCATTCAAAGACCAAATATAACGTCCCAGAACACTCCAGCTCACAGGTTAGTCTGCTCCAAGCATTTACACAAAGGTCAGTCTGCTGTTGTAGTTAATGCGTCATTTTTCATAACATAATTGGTGATATAGGTTACAAGCAAGTCTGGCGCTGAACAGAAATTGTCGCGCTATGCTCCTTTGTTTATTGTGCATAAATAGTGAATTGTCCTGACACAATATTGCGTTTCGCTTCTGTTATTATGGTACATTGACAAAAACATATACTTTTATTCACAGGATAAAACAGGTTTTTTGTATCACTAATTGCCCAGTACGATTACAGCATACAGTATTATTGTCACTGCTACATTTCTGTGATGCTACCAGAAATTATTTCCACTACTAATTAATTACCGTTGAGCTCAAAGGTCCTATTAATAAACGGTTAACGAATGTGTATTTATGACGACGATTTGTGAGACTGGTAAACTTATGATACGTACGATGGTCTTTTCGTTCTACACGGTGCATTTCAAGGTCCTGCACCCATCCGTCGGTAAACTGTACCTGGGCTTGTTGCAGTGACCTGAAGTTACTAAACTTCATGAGTGTATGCACTCACTCCAAGAACCGTATGATTATAAATCTGAGCGTGGTGAAAGTTGGGCAGCACGCTAACGTCTTTTGTCCCTCTGTGTGCTCGTAAGGGTCTGACCCTTTCACTCCTTTGATTTTTTCCTCGTAT